TTGATCTAACAGAAACTAGTAATAGTCTATATCATGCATGCTTATTCCCTTCTTCTATGATACATTCTTTGATGCTCATTGGGTGTGGACTGTGGTTATGCACATATAATTTACTATTCAACCTTTATAACACTGTCTGTGTCATTGGGGCTCTGTTCTCTAGTTAATGATTGAAGATGATGATTTTCTCCCTTTTGTTTGCTCTTTTATTATGCCTGCAATTAAGTCATGGTAAGTACATGTCACTTTTATTTTTAGTAGATTCTAGATCTCCTGTATAAATAACTATTTTTTATTGTAGGAGAGAGTTATAATAATTCTGCTACTAGTTTTTACTTTGGATTAATGAGAAGTAGTGGATGGCTTACAATTTCAACTTTGTCTCCTCTTAACGTCACATATAAAATCACTGTTGATTCGTTCAATTATACTCGAAATGGAACAGTAACAAAGAATAACCCAGATCCATATGTATATCTTTCTTCAAGCTTCCGTACACGTTCCAGTTCTTTTGCAGATCGATTTAAGGGAATTCATGTGACTAGTGATCAACCGATAAGTGTGTCATTTTTCTTTTTTTTATTTGAGTATCTTGTTTTACCATATCATGAGTACCCAGGAGTCAGTCAGTATGAATATTATGCTGTTTCTACTAGTAGTTACCGTAACACATCTCTTAGTCAAGTTCTTCTTGTTGGTTGTGTTAATAATACTGTCATTAGTATTATACCAACAGTTGATCTCTTCATTCCTATTGATGTACAGAAGAATGGCAGTGATGATATATTAGTAACTAAAGGTAACTCTCATACTATTACACTACATGAGGGACAGACTCTATTGCTGGGTAAAGGGAATGGAAGTGATATATCAGGAACTCACTTTATTTCTAATAAACCATTGACTGTTATTACTGGTCATGAGTGTGGTGGCACTCCTAATATGATAGAACGCTTTTACTGTAATGAGATGCAGTTGCAAGTTCCTCCAACAATAACTTGGGGTAAAAGATTCATTCTGACACACTTTATTAATCTACATGACAGATCACTATATTCTTCTTATATAAAGACAGTCACTTCACAAACCAATACTAGTATAACAATATACTGTAATGGAGCCACTAACACTACAAGGTATTCTACTAATGATGCAGTTGGTACTTATCAGTATAACATAACTGAATATTGCTATGTGGAAGCTGATAAACCAATATTTGTTGCCCTTTTCCGTCACTCATATTTCTATTATTATACTACAATACTATTGATACCACCAATGGAACAATATCTAGAAAAAATTGAGTTTGGTCTTTATTCCTATTATTCTCGCTATTCAAAGCTTGTTATTACAGCATCAATTGAAGGATTCTCTCCTACAGCTATTCTACATAATGGACTAGCAACAGTAAACTGGACAGCAATATATGATTCCAAAAGAAATATTGTAGCATATGGAACTGAAATTGAAATTAGTCAAACTAGTAATCATTCAGTAGTTCATACTGGTAGAAATGGAAAATTATCAGTTCAAATCCAGAATCATGGCGATTTTTTTACTTTGGATCTAATGAATATTCAGCAGTAGTTTCACTACAACCAAGTAATTAATTGTTAAGTTAAAAATATTCCTATTTATAATTAATAATAGATGTTATTCCTGTTTGTAATTTTTCTTGTGGTAATGGCATATGTGTTGCTGATAACTTGTGTCAATGCTTTGATGGTTGGACTGGTGATCAGTGTGATGAAGGTATGGATCAATTGCACGTATAGTAAAGTAGTAGTGGTAGTAGTATATAGTATAATTATTTGTATAGTACTTCATTAATTAATTTGTCTAGTATTATGTAGTCCAGTATGTGGTAATGGATATTGTGTACCAACTAACAGTTGTGTATGTAATCCTGGCT